GGAAGAGAGCAAAGGGTTTGAGCCAGATGACCTTCCCCACAACAAGAAACGTAGGGCTAGGGAAGAACTGCCCAGAGATTCTTCTTGTCAAAATGAGGATCAGAATGATGGTAGCGAAAACAAGGAGGATACTGGTGAAAGTATTCCTAAACGAACTCGAGTACTAGGTATTTGCCTTGGTATACGGGTGCAGTTTTCTTCTGTTGCTGTTGTTTCTGTTTTTGATCCGAAGGATAGCTTAGCCTCCCCCATGTTGCCCCCTCAATCGGTCCCAGTTCATGGTAGATAGAAGTGTTTTGTGTTTTCAACCGCACTAAGACTGACGTCTTTTCATTGGTCAGCCAGTTAGCGCAGTCGATGCTTATAATAAAAGCACGCACACACCGCTGTCAGCGCCGCCTGCGCTGGAAATAGGGTTTCCAGCAATTTTTCCCAAAATGTTTTAGTTTTCCTACAATAACGGGGTACGCACCGAGTCGAATCGACACGATACGGCCCGACTCTGGACCGGATATTTCCTACAGCAACATAGCTTACAGGGAATTCCCTACCGGATAAACTGGACCGGAAAAACAACGGCCTTACAGGAAATCCATAGGGGAAACCTTAGATTGTTCGGTCGGTAGCCTGTCTGGGCCCTGTCATGTCTGGTGCACGCTTCACGTCTCGTCTGCAGCTCTGGCTGGCCAACAAGACTGAGCACACTATCCAACAACATCGAAACAAACAAGAAAATCTAACAGCCTGACGGCCGTTGTACACGTTGGTCGGCAGCATCTGCGACGGATTCGCGAAATTCCGCACGCGAACTTCCGCACTCAGCAGCAAACTTCCGTTGTCGAAGATGGATACAAAACACCCGTATCGCTGAAGTGGTAGTTGCATTCGGGTTGTTTTCCAAGGATAGGTGTCTATGACGGCAAGCAAACAATATACCACCGCTGGTACACAGGCCGGCAGTGGCACAGGTGCACAAAGTCACAACAATATTTCCTTCGACCCCTGGCTGACCGCTTCTTAGAACAATCTTGCTGGTTAGCTATCGTGTACGCCAAGTGCTATCCCTTTTTGAAGCCCCACGCCTCAGGCTCACCGTCGCGTATGCCTCGCTGTCGAACACGCACTGTCGACAGTCATCGTGGCCGGCGATGTCGCACCCGACTCCCTGGCAACCGCTCTCGTAGTACGTCTGAAAAGAACGCAATATGCCAAAACGCCAATCCGTGATAAAAATTAAACAACCACCGACACGGTACGGCTATGGATACACATTTCACGTCTCACACACTGGGCTAGTTTGGATTGGGGTTGGGCTTCCGTGACGTGTGGAATTGTCCCAGGCGAAAGGTAGCGTCGCACTCCACCGAACAATCTGCAAGTCGACGGGGAGGGTCGTTGTGACGTATATCAGCTTGTGCGGCTTGCTCACGATGCCAGCATGAGACTAATCTTGACTAGAGGGATGGTGGGATATAACTACCCGGCTTTCAATCCAAGCGTGCAGGGCTGAACTACAGTATCTGCTTTCTCGTAATGTTTGACCCCGTATCAACACGACGCACCTCACACCGTCATGGCGCAGCAATAATGCACAACAACGCCGCATAAAGCGAAACAATGCACCGTTGGATGGGAGATACAATTAGGTAAGAAGTTCAGCTCCGGCTGGGCTTGCCATTTAGGGTTAGGAGGGTCCTGTGAGGCTGCAGTCAAGGCGTTGTCATACTTCCTCCAGGCCATTGGACCAATCCAGTGTTACCACTGGCTAGTTATGCCATTGTTGTCATCCATCAATCTTTCGTTGACGTTGTCGGGTCTCAAACGAACACTCTTCCTGCTTTCCGCGGCGCGAGCAATGTCTGCACCATGTGTCATGAAGAGAAGAAGGTTACCACCCTAGTGTCATACACCGCTTGCCGTGTCTTACCCCGATCCCGTTCTCCCAGTCTACCGTGCTGGCAATGTCGACGCAAAGCAACGCGCTACTGTTGCCTCCCGCTCTGGTTTCGCACGGCTCCATCGGAATCTGTCAACATGCACATGTATACGAATCAGTACAAAGTACACGTTGAAGATGCGCGCGTATTCTGCCTCGCACCAGAACTCTCGCTGTTTGTTCTTGTCGTTTTCTCGGTAGGTTGGGTGTTGCTCGTATCCCTTGCGCTGCTTCTCTTGTCGTTGTACTTGTCGCTCTCAAGTTGTTTTCACTGCAAGTTTCTATCCGACCACCTACTTGTAACCTGCTGTAAAATCGAAGTTCATTTTCGGCATTAGCTCTTCTGCAGCATTTGTGGTCAACAACAGGCACAAACTACGATAACACACAACGATGATCAGACGAGCGCCATACTCATTCTTCGAAACTCCCTCCCCGATCGGTCGGGTGCTCCGCAATCGGTCTCTTACAATACAATGCTTTGCGCCAAGCATCGATGGCGCCACGATAAGCCCTGCGCGACCGTTGGGTGCACTGGAAGTTGTTTCTGTATCCCCCAGCAATCCTTGAGGTACGCCTTTTGGACGTTGGGGTTCTCTCCGAAACAGAACAATGTAAACCAACGCAACATGACCCGAAGGTGGAACTAAAAAAATCATGCACTTCTCGTAAATATGAGCGAGGACACACAACGTACCGTAGTAATATATGTCTTTCCGCCCACCCCCTTCGTCCTAGACGGACTCACCGTGGGTGCCAACGTTGAATTCGTGTCCCGTTCCCCCGGTGCCGGCGCGGGTGTGGATGCGTTCCCCTCCACATGTTTCGAGGGGAGTCAGGAAAAGACGAAGACGCACGCAAGATTACGGACTCTAAGACCGCAAGAAAAGGAGCGGGAAAATGCTGGCCTTACTCTGCGCAATCCAAGGACCGTGTGATACCGAGGACGGCCCAGGGGTGTAAAAATACAAGGTACAGCACTGCTATCGTTGGGTGCTGCAGTGGTGAACAGCCCCTTTTCGTAGGTGGTCCATGAAGTAAGCAGCAAAGCACGATGGACCTCACGATATCGTCTGCGAATCCTACGACGACGAAGCAAAGTAGAGCCCTGTTGCGCCACCACTACTTGGTTTACCTCAAAGCCCTCTCCATACCCGAATCATTGATTCAACACTGCCCGTGTAGACAACCATCCTCTTTTTTCTCCGTGGTTACCACGATCTGGATGTTCAAGGCCC